CCACTCGACCTCCCCGTTACGTACAGAGAGGTCATGGGCCTAACCTTCCACCCTACCTTCTGACTCCCTTCTAATTAACTCCAGCTGTGGGCGACTCGCTCTTTTCAGGACTTGACACTGGGTGAGACTTTTTTTTTCCTCCCCAGAAAATCATCTCAGTTTTGATGCCAACAGCTGAGCTTGATTTAGCCCTTGCGTGCCTTCGCAATAGCAATAATAATCATTGATCCCAACGGCACGCTGGCTTGGTTCCATCTTCTTCTGTTCATAGTTTCACTGCACTGTTTTCCCACCCCCTCCTCGGGTCAGCTCTCGAAGATCTGCTTGTGAGTAATCTGCTCCTGGAGGGCACGATCCTGCCAAACCCTCCCTGCTGTGCTACTCCAACTGAAGTCAATGAGGCCCTTAGACTTTGAACTCTTTGGAAGAGTGGGCTTGCTTCTCCACTGCTCTGCACCTGGTCTCCTTTGCAGTTGGGCAAGGCGGCTGGGAAGCTTCACCCTTCTGATGTGGTGGTATCAGTGGGCACTCCCTTTCCATAGGGTTGTACGAGGACACAAGCTACCTGATAGAGAACAATCCAGACCATTGTCTTATACGCTTGCAAAGCACTCTATGCACACAGGCCCTCCTCCTGCAAATTCTTATCCAGGTGCTTAACTTCCCCCCTCGGGTGCCACAGAAATACTTGGGACACTACGGACAGGGGCTGTTTCTCTTTTATTCCTGAGATAGAAACGGCCCTTTCATATCTTGCTTATTTAATCCAGATTCCTGGGAGCGTGTGCCCCCAATTGCTAGGGCTAAGTAACGGGTGGGTATGTGCCAGGGGGTCCACTTCTGCAGAGGAGGGACCATAGGTGCTGGAACTGGGGGTGCTGCTGCACTCCCTGGCTTGAAGGGGTCTCCATTAAATACAGGGTTTACAGTTTTGTTCAGTGGGTCTCAGCCCCCCCTGGGAGGGACATCCCTAGAATTAACCAGGGTGGGGCACAGCCCCTCTGGGTCTAGCCTCAGTAGAGGGAAAACCTGTGGGGAGCCAGGGTCTGTTTGCACCCACAACACACAGCCCCATTGTAAATTAAACCCAGAGTCTGGGAGGACCACCGGGGTGGAGGCTGGACTATCCCCTTGATCCAAAGGGGCCTGGGCAAAGCCAACCTCTGCCAGCCAGCTCCAGTCCCCTGCGCCCTCGGGCGCCCAGGCAGCGGGTGCCTTGCACCTCTGCCCCCTGCCCGGCCCCACGTTTGCAAGAAGAGGGCCCCGAGCGCTGTCCACTTCCCACCTTTGGACCTTTCCAAGCGGGCTGCTCCCGGGCGCACCTGCCTCCTGCGCCCTGGGCGCATCGCAGGGTGCCCGCGCTCGCCTCTCCAAGCCCCCCCGTCTCCACCCAGGCGCCCGGGGAGGGGGGGGGCCGAGCCCACTGTCTCCGAGCGGAGGCTTGTTGCAGTATTAAAATAATAACGCGAGAGTTGCAAGTTGCTTCCCTCTTCCCCGACCGTAAAACTGTCAAAGGTAGCCGGGAAGGGGGGCGCGGGGGATCGCGCACGAGCCAGCGGCGCCTCGCCCGCTCCAAGCGCGCGTGTGTGTGTGTGCGTGCGGGGGCCCTGGAGAGCTCGCCACAAGCACCGAGGTAAGGAGCCCCCCCCTTGGCAACCCTCCTCCCCTCCCCCGCCCCCCCCGGCCCTTTTCCACCCTTGGCCCTGCTTTTACTCCGCCCGGTCGCCCCCTCCCCGGGCCCGGTCGCCCCCTCCCGAGGGTTTTTGCTGCTTCCTTTCGCGGCGCGCCTGGGATTCCTTCCCCCCCCCCTTGCCTTCTCTCTCCCTCTCCCTCTCTCCTCCTTCTACATAAAAAAGTCGCCATTTTGCTTCACTGCCTTTTCCTCCTCCCCTTAATTATTTTTCCCAGGCACAAGAAATAAAAATAGTTTTCGCCCCCTCCCTTTTGCAAAAAAAAACCAAAACCCAA